GGAGAACTGCTGGTATCCCACATGACCCCTCTTCAATGAGGGGCGCCACCGACAGCTGCCTAAAGTCAGGGGTCAAAGTCATGCCCGGTAGATATCAGCAGTCAGGGTTAAAAACTGCTGAGCGCAGGCAGTGAAGCAATGAATGATGTAAGGCTCAGTTAAGAGTTGAGCAACTCTATCAGACTACAGTAACTGCAGACACCCAGGCTGTGTCTATACTGCAGGCGTAGTGTTGTGTCTATGTTTGGACATATACAATACAGACATACATTTCCTCTGGAATATCTTTTTCAGTCAGTCTTTTGTCATGGAGACAACTGAACTCCTGGAGCTTTTCAGGGTTTGGGCAGTAGCCAAGACAAGATGTATCCCACCAGTCCAGCTCTTTGCACCCTGGGGTGAATAGTCAAAAAATAAAGGTGCCATTAAAAATGTTTACATCTCAATAATTATTGTTCTCTGCTGTATGCTAAAGAGTCATAATGATAATAATCACCTTTATTTGGCCAAGTATGTTACACACAAGGAATTTGTTTCTGGTACAGAACCGAGGCAGCCATCTGCGGCGCCAACTCAACCAATGGCTCTAACCATTGGGGGCAACTTGGGGGTTCAGTGTTTTGCCCAAGGACACTTCAGCACGTGGACTGCTGGCACCAAGATTCAAACCTCCAACCTTTCGGTTGGGAGACAACTGCTCTACCCACTGAACACAGTCACCCCCATCATTTCTGTCATGGCCCAGTGAAGTCACCGTGAAAGAGGGCTTACTGGGTTCCCATTTGCATCCTTGGCCAACAATAAGATGCTCACAGAACATGCAGCTATAACAGGCTATGTATATAAAGGCACTGACCCTAAGAGGAAAACAGAGCTCTTTCAACTTTACAAATCAATATAGTTGACTAAGAAGCTGAATTACTATGATGACCTTGGCCTAGCATCTGCACTTTAATAGCAGGAGTACACCAAATAAATATAGTTCAAGGGGTCTGAAAGGACGTGAATTTTTAAATGGCTCCCCTACACTTTTAGTATCTGTGTCTAAGCGATGTAACCTTCATTGCTTCCGCCCTTCTATTTATAACAGAGTCATAGTCCTGCTGCACTTTGATAGTACCAAGTGATCTCATTTACACACACTCACAAATACTCACACATACAGTCACACACACATTTTTTGGACGCTCAATTTATGTGTGAGTGATGCCAACAAATAAAATGTTTGAGCAATGACTGAAACAGATGGAAATACTGCACTGAGTGCGACAATGGCTGGGCATTTGGCAGCATATCTGAATTGTAACATATCCTAATGAATCAGATGAAAACTATGTGAATCCTTCAATAAATGCCCCGACTACCTGCTCTGTCGCCCATCTCTGTGCCAGGAGCGAGTGGGGGCTCTGTGCCCACTGACAGCTGAGCTCACTCTGGCAGACAACTGCACACAACCACATGCAGAAAACAGATCAGCATTAAAGCCAAAAACATTGTCAATATGAAGTTCGAGCTACTGTGGGCACAATGGAAGGAAAACCTTAATTATGTGATCCAATTTTAAAGCTTTGCAATATATCAAGAGCATAGCTTTCAGTTGCAGTGTGATAGATTTTAGTAAATCTGAAAAATGTTAAGTTATCTATAAAACAGTTTGCATATTTTATAAACTCGGGGTTTGTATGTTTTAATCTAGAGCAAAAATACAATATTTGCTTCTGAAATGTTGATATAAAAGTATAAATTACCATGAAATGGATGCAGTTGGTGTGCAACAATATCCATGTTTTGTCTTGAAAATAATCCACACTTAGACCTAACCAGCCTAACAGAGAGGAACAAAATCCAACCCGCTCAACAGAAACATTAAGCCTGCAGGAGATAACCCAGCAGCTCACTGACTGTTCACCATCTTTTGTTCTATTTTGGTCATTTCAATATAAAATCAGACTTTTAGATAAACATGGCTAAGTAAAAAACAATGAAGCTTTCTCCATCTTACTTGTGTCCAAGCCGCACTTGTGGGTTTGTCAAGAATCTCAAAACACTAATCATCCAAACCACAATAATGCTTTAAATAAATACATCGGTTATTGTTTGTCTTTGGTTGTTTTGTTATATTTATGGTATCATCTCAATGCATAGTGTGAGCTAATTCATCAAAGAAGACTTTGTTAAGTGGGACTAAAACTTGTTAAATATGCCCACTTTTAATGCATGTTACATGCACAGTAACTCACAGATGGAAGAGGCAGAAAACACATTAACATAATCATGAACAGGTTGCTAGTTTCATACCATTACGACCTTAAACACAATGATTTAAAACAAAACAAATCATGATTAAGGGATATAACGCACACAAGGAGACAAGGCACATAAAGACATTGCAGAAAAAAAAAATTATTAGCCACGTGTAACATTTGTTTTACATTACATTTTACAATTCTGGATTGAACTGCAGAGAGTTGGGTTGTTTGTGTGAGTGTTTTTATAAATTCTTTGGGGAGTCAGAGTTATTTCCCTCTCAGGGCCTGTCACTGCTCTATGGAGACTTGACATCAAAAATTGAGGTTCCTGTCCGATCAGTGGCACAAATAATGAAAGAAGGCTCTTCTCTGTGAGTGACGAGTCTCTTCCTCACACCCCATGTGGTGGTGATTCGTTCAGCTTACTCATGTTTCTCCTCCAAACAAATTAATATTTATTATTGTCACTCAAGTATTCAGCTCAAGGAACTTATGACACCCCCAGACTGTGCAGCGCTCTCACATAAAGGATCTCTCTAAGATGGTTCTATTTTCAGTGACCATTATCTTCACAAGTCTGTCTGTATGAGACAGGGGGAAAACACTGAGGAATCCTTTGGTGACACTGCTGCACATATCAATAAACAATAAAGCCTCTGTCTGCCATATCTCTGAGCAGGCAGCGTCCTACACTAGCCTGACATGTTATATGCAACAATGTGTAAAAATATTTCCTATGGGAACTGTTACAATGAAGTAGTCATTAAGTGAATATTTTAAGGTGCCAAACGTAAGATTCTGTCACAAAGATTGCACATCTTTGAGACAAAGATCTGTTCAGTTGATTTCCTGTGTAAATGTAAGTAAATGTGACACCAACTCTAGATTAAATACAGGAGATCCACATAGCATAACTTTATATTTCTCAGCTCCTCTTTCATGCCCCTGATGAACTTTAAATAACCTTGAGAACATACAGAGAGCTCAGAAAACATGGGCTTTGCCTTCAAATGACTCAGTCTTTTATTATATTCTACCACATGCCTGTTCACAGTATATTTGTGCATTTGATCTTGTGTATATAAGGACAAATTTCTCTTTACTTGTTTATTCCTGAATGTTAATTTGAGCCTGGATGCTATTCCAGCACACATTGGCAGGGAATATCATCACATGCAGTTTTCAAACAGTTTAATAGTTCTGTTGAACCACAAGAAAAGACTAGTTGTTGTTTAATTTTTAAATTTTGATTGCAGAAATATGTAGAGTGTACAGTAGTATAAACACATGCACTTTGTCCACCTGACCTAGTGTGATGGTTCAGTGATCAAGAAAGTAGGAAGATTTGTGACCGCTGATGTAAAGAAGCACTGCAACACCTAATCACAGGGACTTAGCTCAGTTTCAGTTGTGATGGAGCAGCTCCATAGTGTACTGTGCATTTAGGTCACTTGTCAATATCAGAAGTAATAGGTGGCTTCAGTAACTGGGGAAAACAAACATGTCAGATGATGTTGTCAGGCTAAGTCTTTTTAAGGCAAAGGCATATTAAGCCATTTTGACAAGACAGTAATAAGAAAACTTAAAAAGAAGAGCACTTCTATTGCAAGACAGTAATTATATAGTCTGATTATAATGAGAGGGGGATTTTAGAGGGAATGGCAGGAAAGCCATGCCAGGAGAAAGTCAGTGTGCAGCTATACTGAGACTACATTGCACTATTAAAAACAATTAAGCTTTGAGGAAGGTACAAGTCAACAAAACAAATGATGTGGATTCCAGGGGTTGTAGCTGTTTGTCAGTAGGATCAGCTTATGTGAGAACATGATAGAAAGAAATGAAACAGTGAGGACTTGGCTCAGTACAATGCAACTACTTTAAGAATGGGTAGGGCGCACAGAAATGCTTGAAAGAAAACGTGTATTGACAAGATGTTTCAGCCCATGAGCAAAGACAACCAAAAAGGGCTTTAATACCGCTGAATAACAGATAAATCAGCATGGATTTAAAAGGCCGGTGCTGGGATTTCCATTCTTTTATTGAACAGGCATATTTAGCAGCATTTCACGTGTTAAATTAAAACCAGGATGCTTCTTGGAAAAGCAGTGTTTGTTGGAAGGATCCGCTCTTTTTTTTGGCACTGAACACAAGATGACTTTAATTGTTGAAGGACTGGGTATCTTATGGAATTCCGTTTTGCGGATGAAAGGCGGGTGTAGCCACATCTTGCCAGCTTCATCGTGCGCCTTTTGTGGCCTGTGCGATGTTGCCTCAGGCTCACCTTGACAGGAAACTGTTCACTGAATATGCTCCAAGGTGTGTATGAATTATATTTGAATGCTGGTTAATACATTTGGAGTAGAAGGAACTGCAAATGCCGACATAGACTATAACAAAACAAAGTCTCCACTTTGCCGGAAATGTGCGTCTCGCGTCTTTATAAATACGTTCTAATATAATAGCAAATGAAGCGGGACTCTTAATTTGAGATGTGTGCAGCCACCACACGGAACTTGACACCGTAGTGCACAGAGCGCCGAGATCAGGTTAGAAACATGCATCGCAACACAACATCTCCAAATCGCATTCCGCATACTGAAATCTAATCCGAGGACATCAGGATGTGTGACATAACCCCCAAGACATCTGAAAACCGCGCTCCTCCAAACGGGGCTCCAGGGGTGGTTGGGAGAGATTTGTGGATCTCTGTTAGTCACAGTTTGCTCTTGCAGGATCTATAATAAAGGGGCGGACACCAACTGTCCCAAACGTCAGAGCGCACTTAACTATAAATCTTTCCAAACTGCTCTGTGCGCCTGGTTCAGACATCTGTCTTGGTTCAGTCCAGTATGAGGACAACACGCGTGCAAACCCTGCTACATAGATACTATCTGGCCTATAGAAAATGGAGAATAAACACCCCCATCTGTGTTGTTTACCGTGTCAAGATATTGTAAAATGTTGGCGAGTATGAATTTGTAGCACAGTTCTGGATATAACGGCGCTTTAACAATTTTACCAAGAGAGACCAGAGCTTTTTGCACTCTGGGAAACAGATACTGAACACTGCTTGCGCCTCTCTTCTGCGCTGGAGACGCTGTCTTCATTGGAATCCTTTCAGTCGAAGATGGTGGATCTCTCTCGGATTTCCAACGTGGAAACGTAGCATCCAATTAATCAGAGACTGCAATTGTGGCGTCTTCAACACCTACAGTACCTTTGGACTCCGAAGTGTGGAAAGGACGCACGGGTTGGTTCGTGCGCTGGATCGGAATATGAAAATCACACCTGGTGCTTTATTTCAGCTTTTTTTTTCTATCTGGACATAAACTGAATTCTAACTTATTTTGAGGACACCTGGGACTGTTGTTAAAACGCTTCGTGCAGCTGATTCAGCTTGTGACTCTAAATGAGTTGCGTTTTCTGTTTGGATTTTAACAGCAACAGAAAGCGAGTTTCTGGTCTGCATGGGCCATATTTAAGGTAAGGGAAGCTTTATCATTGTTATCATTTCAGAGAGTAAAACTAAACAAATCCCTAGATTATCTGCGCCAAAGGGCGCACAAGCTTCGCTCCTGCTATTTTCATTGAAATACGAAGTCACATTAAAAATGCAACTTGTGGTTATGTATAGACCATTGTCGGGACTTTTGCATAGTATATTTATGCCCAGTATTTATCTATGGATAGCTGTTTAGGTTTACTGCAGACTCAACGTGCCATCAGACGGAGTCACGTAAGCTTTTGGGATCGCCATCTGGCCAACTCACACCAAGATGATTTAGGCTATCTTTGCCAAAACGCATTTTTTTATGAGACGCACCCTTCAAAGTGGTCTGATGTGACATCACACCAAGATCTATGTAACATTTTATATCCGAATAGATCTAATAGAGAATAAATAAGTAGCAGGCAGCTGGTAAATTGCAAATATGGTACGTAATTTAAAAAAACAAAGAAATGAATGCCGGACTTTTACGCACACGTTTACGGGTCTATTATTACTCTTTCGCACTTTCTGCTATATTTTGTAAAAAGCTTGATATTATCAAGAATATTATAGGTTATTTTTTATATCACGATTCCTTTGATTGTAATTTTCTGGTAGGTCTACTCTGATATCTATATTTACAGAGACAGACAAAGTGAGGATCAAAGCCTCTTGACATGATGACACATAGTTACTAATACAGAATGAGTCAGGGTAGGTTTGACAACCACTGTTTCATACACATTGCTGACTTCATTATAAACAAAAAGTTTGCCTACATTCCGAGTGTTTAGAATTTTGTTTTGTTTATGTTTTGCCTTCCTACTTTAAATAAAGTAGCCTATCTTCTGTTATTTTTTTGCAGTTTTTGTCATAGGAACTGAGTCTAAGATGAAGTTATGGGATGTTTTGGCCATGTGTTTGTTGCTCCTGAGCTCTGTTGCTACACGGCCTCTCTACCAAAACACTCAGCCAGCCAAAAGGACTTCTTTCCCCAGCAGCTACAGTGATTCTGTGTCCCTGTCTGTGGAGGACGAAGAACCAAGTTTTCAGCCTGAAGACCACAACCTACAGGGGATTTCAATGGAGGATCAATGTAAGGCACACAACATGTTCTGACAAAAATCTTTTGTAATGTGGCATCACTGTGAAAATCTCTTGAACGGCAGATAATTGGCCCACATGGGGGTCACATTATAGATCTACTATGCTTGTGCAAACCTCCATTAAACAATCTGCAACTATCAGCACAAATGTAAAGGGTTAAGTGAACTCTGACAAGGTTTCATTGTATTGTAATGCCCTGCCATGTGTTGCCTCTTGAGAGGGAACAGTAATATAGATAAGGTCATAGGTTGAGTTCTGCACCATGGCAATTCAGACATGAATGTTACAGTTGGTGTGTTGGTCATGTCATTTAGTCCTTCTTGACTAATTACACTCGAGAGAGAGCAGGTAAAGTGACAGCCAGTGGGTTGGGCCTCCAATGAGTCCTATATTGATAAGGCTCTCTGACAGCCAGATTATCAGATGGAAAATCTTGATGTGTTTTATTGCTGTGGGTTACATCATACTGATGGCAAAACACGTTAGCAGCGTGAATAAAACTACAAACAGCCCGAATTCCAAACAGAGATTGCTCTCAGTGTTTCCCCTTCCTCCCTTGCTCAAGGTTCACCTCTGACTGTTTGTGGCTTAGAGGCACATGACCTTTATTCATCTGCCAAAAGTCCAAAATCATGGCAATGTTTTATAGAGGGCAGTGTGAACCAGATTTCATGAATTTTCAGAGAAGAGGCTAGACAATACCGGAAAGTTTTAAGCATCAGGTGAGACTTCTATGTTTAAGTTCATTTCAACAGCGACATTGGGCAGGAATTCATTTTGTTTGGATCAGTATGGCACTGTATCATCCTCACACAGAAGTAAACTTGGCCAAGAACTCGATAAGGAATGATATGGCACTGTATCATCCTCACACAGAACTCGATAAGGAATGGAACATTTGGACAAATGTTTGTCCTGCTGCCTCGTATTCTATTTGGATCTGCTGTGTAACCCAAGACCATTAACTGTGCACCAATATTGTTAAAAACACTGTAGCTCCAAGAGGGGATGGGTCTTTAGATTTTTGTAAAGTCAGAAGTTACACTTAAAAGTTGTAAGTAGGTTTTCTCTTACGGTTTAAGACTAAAATCTCCAACAACAGTTGCACAAGTAAACTGATATGTAATATTCGGCTGCAAAACATGGTAAAAACAAGAGTTGAAAGTTGCATTTAATAGTTCTTTCTTTATCAGAGTTGACTGGTATTTTAGTGATTATTTTCAATAAAATCATGATTCTTCAGTATTGATTCCACAAAAATTATGACACCGTTTGCATTATTAATCACTCCATTTACAGCCAAGCAGCCCAGTCTGTCAGCAGGTGTACACTGCAGCCACCCTGCCTGTCAGCCAACATACAATAGGAGGTGTCTAAATCAAAGGGCAGGTGTGTCTAAACAGATTAGCTCACCTGATATTCGAGCGGCGGCCCAATCAGCTGTGAAGCACAGGCAGATCGAATATCCTGTGCTCTGCCAGAAGAACAGGTAGGAGAGGAGAGATAGGTGACACTGCAATAGAGAGGCCATGTTAACCACAGCACCGCCTGCCAGACATCGCACCCTGTCACCCTGACTTTTTGACACACATACAGCATCATGATCACATTCATACATGCATAGATACACTCAGGTAATGTAGTTAGAGTTGAATCTATTGATTAATTTCCTAACAATATGTCTTCATGATCTTCTTACATAGTTCACTGTTTCCAGGAGTAGGAGAGACATTACTCCTTAACAGAATCAGCATGTAACAGAGGATCCAAGACTTTCAGTCAGTCTTCATTACTCCTCGCAGCAGATGGTTGAGAGCTGTGCTAGTGCATGTTTTGAGTTTCGAGCAGACTGCAATCTGCTCTCGCTAAATGACTCAAAGCGTATGGTTTCCTTGAATCTGGCCTTTGAAGTCTCAGTATTGTAAAATTACATTCATCAAGAATTTAATATTCACCTTTATTTGGCCAAGTATGTCACACACAAGGAATTTGTTTCCGGTACAGAACCGACGGCAGCCATCTGCGGCGCCAACTCACACCGATGCCTCAAACAATTGGGGGCAACTTGAGGGTTCAGTGTCTTGCCCAAGGACACTTTGACATGTGGACTACAGGCACCAAGATTTGAACCTCAGACCCTCTGGTTGGGATACGACTGCTCTACCCACTGAACCACAGTCGCCCCCTCAGCAACTAAATGTCACACTGCATCTCTGTTCATGGTGTAATAGGTCTGTATCTATAGGCTAGTGCTGTGTGAAATAACTGAAAGACTTTAGAAGATAGAAACCTGATGACGGCAGCAGTGTCTATTGAAATTCCGGCCACATTATTAGTGCAAAACCAAGTCTTCCCATATTTCATCACAACATATGTATGTTTCCATTGTCTGACTAAACTGACTCTTAAAACAGAATTGACAAACACCCTCTGACCTTCAGCCTACCACTCCCCCCTCTATAGTCATGTTGGAGAGAGTTAAACCGTGGCACCTGCATGTCCATTTGAACAATTCTGGACTCCTCTCTGCATTCCTCTCCCAGACACTAATCTGTAAATCATGCACCATTTCTGATCTGCACATTTCTCACTATCTGCATCTGTGTCAGGACATATTTTTGAACACTTCTTCATGCAAATGCTGGCTGACCATATGTATGTTCAGTCAACAACAATGTACATCATTCTTTTTTGTACAAATGGTACCTCAGTCTAGATGGTTTCTGGAACTGAATTGGCAGAAGCGCAAAATCTGCATCTTGCATATATATGTGCTTTTGTGTATTTAAAACAACCGCTCAACATTTTGTGAACTATGCTTACTTGTTTTATGGCAAGGAGTTAAATTCCTTATTTGGATGCAGTCATGTGTTTCTTGGCTGAAATTTATAGTTGCGCAAGGTTTTCACATCCGTCATATAGCTTTATGCTCGATTTTTTTCTCCCACAGGGATATTTAAATCCTACCTTCAAAATTGATTACCATGTTATTAAGTAGTGGGGTGACATTTCATGTCAGTGATGAAACTGTAATAGTATCTTTATAAGTGAGTCTGTTCCTTCTGTATCTTCCAGATGACACTGCAGAGCCCTATCCTGAACAGTTTGATGATGTAATGGATTTTATCGAGGCTACCATTGGCAGACTCCGGAGATCGTCAGAGGTCAATGGAGGCTCCAGGGGACGGAGGGAACAGAGACAGAGGGGAGCAGCAAACACAGGAGGCACGAGAGGCGAGGGTAAAGGACATGGCGACAGGAGGCGGGGTCGGGGGCGAGGGGGAAGTCGGGGCGGTAAAGGAGGCCGAGGTGAGAAAGGGAGGGACAGGATATCAGTGCAGAGTCGAGGCTGCTTACTAAAGGAGGTCCACCTCAATGTAACGGACTTGGGTCTGGGCTACCAAACTAAAGAAGAGCTGATCTTCCGGTACTGCAGTGGCCCCTGCGTGGAGGCAGAGACCAACTATGACAAGATCCTGAACAACCTCACACACAACAAGAAGCTGGTGAAGGATACGCCCTCGCGTACCTGCTGTCGACCAATTGCCTTTGATGATGACTTATCTTTCTTGGATGACAATGTAGTGTATCACACCCTGAAGAAGCATTCTGCTAGGAAGTGCGGCTGTGTATGAGGAATCCACTTGGATCTGTCAAAATGACAGGCGTGACCAGCAACAGTGAACTAAGGATTACTTTTAGATGCTGGTGCTGCAGAGTGATCACTGTTGGACATGGGCATAAGAAGTCAAGGAGAGAGTGCATTGAGTCACATTTTGTCAGTAGTCATCAAAGGAGACAGGTGAGTATATTGAGGCTACTTCTGTGACATGACAGGCACTGGAAGATCTGATACAAAAAGCAAACTGGTCATTGAACTCTGACAGTTCTTACCAAGTCCTCCAGATCCTGTGACAAGTATCTGACCGTTCAATCGTCACATGCAGAATTGTGTCAGGTCGGCATCAATATGCAGAAGAATCAGTACTGCTACACTTTACTACCAGATTTGTTAACTGTGCTGCCTAAAAAGGTGAGAGTGAAGAAAAGGTTCAGATTAAGTTGGCTTGTTTGCTCTGGAAGAATCTATTTTCCCAGGAACATCAGTTTTTCCATAGCTGGCTCCTAACACTCCAGACAAACATGGAGGTTTCAGGAGTACATTCAGCTGCAGTTTAAATCACTTCCACTACATAGTCTGGAAGCTGACATTCAGAGCAAGGAGATGAGAAATACCACACCGGGGTTCAGCAAAGACTTTTGGTGCAAGACATCTACACTACATAAAATTCAATCAATTATATATATAC